TGTGTCCATATAATAAGATCTTGTAGCCTGTCTCATCTTTGTGGTCACATTCATAGTCATCACCTTGTCATCTTCTTCAAGTGCAATTTTACAGGTAGAACTGAACTTCTGACTACTGTTTCGTTAGGTTTTCTGATATTATGGTCACAGCATTATGATCATTGAATTCAAATATATGAGTAATTCTGACTCCTTGTGCATGTTTGGCAGAAATCATATTTCAATTCCCATAATATAGTGAATCAGATTCCCTCTTTTTGAAAGACTTGAAATTGTACCTTGTGATGTGAAACTTTAATTTTCATTCCCAAGGACTTAACAAAGAGATTTAAAAATGACAAAATTTTCATTTATATACTAAAATTAAACTGTAAAAACATATATAATTAAATATCTTGACGTTTACATGTAAAAACATATATACACTAAATATGTTGTTAATGTCTTGTATCATAATATCGATACATTTCGACTATGGCCATTATGTACAGTTATTATATTCCAACTATAACTTTTCTTAACATGGGGCAATTTAGCCATCATGATTCCCATTCTGCTATTTTTCGATTCCTGTTCATTGATATCATTGATGAACTAAAAGTCATCTTAGAGAAACTCTAAATATCAAGAAATTATTCTGAAAAATGCCAAGCCATTCCTATTTTGAGGCACAATCAACATTGACCAGAGAATGTGAGAATTTGACATAAGAGCCACGTCGAAAAAGTTCTTCAGTATAGGTCTTTCTATAAATGTTACAGGCAATGATGCTTGATTGAGGATGTAATCATGTAAATCTCGATCCAGTACTGGTTTCAGTAATATATTACTGATACAGGATCAGTATACAGGGGGGTGTGTTGCCCAATTTCGTTAAATAAAATGAATATTATTGTACCATGTTATATTTTTCAATTCTGGTTCTTGATCAGACCAATAAACACCAGTCCATATTGACCAGTGACCACTAAAGTTGTGATTTGAAACCTTGGTTCGGATGACTTGCTCTTGCCACTATTTAACCTCTTGATACTCGTTCATGCCTCCCATATTGGTGGCACATACCATTCCATTGAGTTTAGGGGATGTCCTTTAAAGGGAGTTTAGTGTGCAGTACTCAAGTTTCATTGAAGTTTATAATAGTCAATTGTAGGCAGTTAGGGAATTGTTCTCTTCTCAGGCTTCTCATACAAAGCTTCTCTTCTATCTGTAGAGTGTGCATGATAAATCTCTTTGGTTTCTCAGACAGAGTTTCTGAATTCTCTGCCATGACATCACAAACATGTGCACGATAAATTGCTTCAACTATCCAAATCCTCCATCATGACATCGCATCGTACATGTCAACTTCTATATATATCATCTACTTACTATAGCCTTCAACATCCCTATATTATGATACTTAATCCATAAAAAACCAGCTCATAAACTTCCCTAATACGATAATTCAATTATCATGTCCTTTAACCATGGAATTTTAGAATTAGCTAATAAGTATAGTTGTTAATGCAAAGACAGGAAATCTTTTTTTGTTTCCAAGAGTTATTGAACACCTTTCTATCCTCTTGTAGGACACCTAATGACTGGTCACCACAAGCAACAAAACATATAACTTCTCTCTAAGACAAACAGGACTTTGTGCCTTTTACTAAGGTTACATTATGCAAAAAAAAAGCAATTATACTTGTCAACTAACCTAAAAGTAATTGATGATTGGATCTCTGCATGAAACTCAAAAGCTTCTTGTTTAACATAATTCATGTTTGTCAAATAGAGGTGATTCTCTTTGTTGCCCTCTATATCTTCCTGGCACTTTCCATGGCTCTGCCTATTTTTCCCATCATCTAGGCTGCCCCCATCACTTGTACACCTTCATATCCTCTTCTATTATGCTTATCTATGAGTAATATGATTTAGTCTATTCTTCTTTATTCTTCACATTTCACTTACATCACTCTACTTTTCATTTGCCACTTGGTAAACAGTACTTTTGCTTGTAAACTTGATTTAAAAAATATCACAAATCCTTGATGTAGTTTCCTTTAGTTTGTTAAAGTATGCACAAAACTGTCCATAAGTTATGAGCAGTAGTACCCTATCCATAGGTTTGCCTCTTTTTTGTCTAGTTGTTGTCTTGTTCATTCCTAAGTTATTGATTTTCTAAACATATATGAGTATATAATACTTTACAAGTACCACATATTTGGTTGGGCATGCACCCAATGCCTAATGTGCTTCATGCAACTCCTGGTGCCTGATTGATATTACTTTCTAAAACCTTAATGATATGCATTCAATCTCAAAATATATTTCTTGTGCTTGTCGATTTCCCCAAAAATGATAAATAAGCCAACTGGGGCCTAATTTCAGACATAGACATATCTATGAAGCAAATTTCAGTAGAATAAAAAACTGATGTAAATCAGCACTTTTGGATTGGGTAGTCATCTTCTTCATAACTTGAGTGTTTGATGGCATACAACTACTGTACAAACAGCAAAAATAGGAGGCCATCTTAAGAAGAGATTTAATGCATTACATCCAAGAAAAACATTGGAACTAGGATTCAAGAAAGCCCCTCCAATATGAGAAGTACTGCCACAGGAGTTACAGGATCAAGAGAAATCTACAATGTTTACTTCCTAAAGAGTCCTATTGAACTAACTTCTTCAAATTTAATAATAAAATGTAACACAAATTTCAAAAATTAAATGATTAAAGCAATCTAGAGTAAATTGTATCAATATCTTCATGTATGGATATGGAGAAGGAAAAAACAAAAAGAAAAGGAACACCCTAAGATAGCAACATAAAATATAGTTAAGCACATCATTTGAATTAGGATTAAGCGAGATAAAGTTTTACTATATTGAAAATTTTCAAATTTCTATTCCAAATTTGGTGAAAAACGAACATAAAGGACAAAATGATAAAGTTTTAATCCAAAATATAGCCAAAACATAAAGGACAAAACGATAATGTCTTATTCTAAAAATATGACCAGAACATTGGTAAAATGTATATAGAGATAAAAATGACTTAAATATATTAATAAAATTTATATTTCGAAACATGAACAAAAATTAGGGTTCTAACTTATAATTTTATAATGGTAAAGTATTGTTCTAAATATGATCAGAAACATAAAGAATGTAACAGTAAAGTCCTATATTAGAATGTGGTTGAGAACATAAAGGATGTAATTATAAGTTTGTCCATTCCACTAAAATATAAAGGTCCAATGACCTAAAATAGAATGGTTCTAAAATAAACTAAATATAATGGTAAAATCCTACTTTAAAATATGTCCAACAAAAAGTAAAATGATTTTAAATAGGTAGAGTCATATAATAAATATTGCCTAAAACATAAAGGATATAATGGTAAATGATATATTCTAAATTATGATAAAAGATGTAAAGGTTAAAATGGTAAAAGTCATGTTCTAAAGTACAGTAAAAAATAAGTTGGTTAATTTCGACAAAAATATAAAGGTAATTGGCCTAAAATATAATGGTAAAAGTTCTATTCTATAATATGGCCAAAAACATAAAGGATGCAAAGGTAAAAGTCCTACTCTAAATAATAATATAGTTTTAAAAGAAAGGTTATTTAAAAGTAAATTTATATAAAATGAGACAATGATAAGAAGTTATGTTAAAAATATGGCCAAATATAAGTTTGACAATTCCACTAAAATATGTATACAATGATCCAAAAAGTTATATTCTTTAATATAACCAAAAAAACAAAGGTAACACCTTCTAAATTAGAGTGTAAAAGTCTTATTTTAATAAGGCAAAAACTAAAAGGAAATAACAATGATAAAAGTATACAACTAGAAGAATTCTATTCTACATATACAGCTAGAAACAATGCTAAAAGGTTCCAAATATCATGGTAACCAACATATTTTAAAATGTACGAGGAAAGGTAAAATGTTCTTAAGTATAATTGTAAAGTGATATTATAAATATTGCCAATAACAAAAGGATATAATGGTAAAAGTACAATTCTACTCTAAAATATAACAAAATTAAAACAAAGGTAAAATCTTCTGAATTATAGTGTAAAAATCTTATTCTAAAATAAGGTAAAAAATAATAACATACAATAAAAAATATAGAAAGGTCTTATATTACATATATGGCCAAAACAATGGTAAAATGTTTTAAATATAGTGGTAACAATCCTATTTTAGAATGTCTGAAAAAAAGGTAAAATGTTCTTAAATATAATAGTAAGTCATATTATAAATATTATCAAAATCATAAAGGATATAATGATAAGAAATAAAAGGGTAAACCCAATATACGAGGCTCTCGCAAATGCGGGGAGGGTCAATATATGCAACATTGTCTTTAAATACTTAAAGAGAATTATTACCGTGACTTGAACTTTGATCTCTCAAGTCATAAATGAGTAACCTTATCATTATATCCAAATCCACTCTCATAATAATAAATTTAATTCTAAAATATGATAAAGACATAAAGTGTACAATGGTAAAAATAATCTTCTAAAATATCGTCAAAAAAAAGTTAGTCAATTTCTAGTAAAATATAAAGGTAAATTGGCCAAAAATACAATGTTAAAAGTTATATCCTAAAATAATGACAAAACTAAGATTATGTAAAAATATAAAACATTTCTACTGTCACAAAATATTTTACGATTATCCTAAAATATAGTTGAAAACATAAAGTATAATATTTAAATATCATAATAATATGATTAGATGTAAAGGCTATAATGACAAAACTAAGATTATGTAAAAATATTAAAAAAAATTAAATAGCCCATGCAGGTCTTTTATCATATTTTAATTCTAAAATATGATAAAAGACATAAAGTGTAACAATGGTAAAAATAATCTTCTAAAATATCGTTAAAAATAAGTTGGTCAATTTCTAGTAAAATATAAAGGTAAATTGGCCAAAAATACAATGTTAAAGTTATATCCTAAAATAATGACAAAATTAAGATTATGTAAAAATAAATGACCCATGCAGGTCTCGAACCTGCGACCTTCGCGTTATTAGCACGACGCTCTAACCAACTGAGCTAATAGGCCATTAATATTTATATATTAATCAATGACATTTTGAAGGCTAGAATCAGATAAACATATCTAGGTGTTAACTTATTTACCAAGCTAAAAAAAATTTATTTACCAGGCTGGACCAGGCAAAAGCCCTGATCAGCCTATTGATTCAAGTCTCAATTGATAAAAAACCATCTTGAAATTTGAAACATTCATGATTATTCATTTCCTAAACTGAAATCATGGATATATCTTGGTCTACATCTAAAACTTGAGGTATTAAATGCCATCTCAATAAATTAAAATAAAAATATTTTCTGTAGCGCCCGAACCGATATGTATCACCCATACCATACTATTTCGAACGGTACAGCAGTCCTTGACATATAACATTTTGAAACTAAAATATCCACTATGTACAGATCATTGTTCCTATTCAGTTTTTAAAATCAATCAAAACACAAATTATCTATACAAAAAAAAAGGCAAGATGTTGAATTGCCTATAGAGATTTTACGATAGAGATGTCATAGTGATAAAAGATGCTAGAATAACACATTGCATAACATCTTCATTTTAATTTTCTTATTCTTTCTTCTTTAAGGATACTAAACAAGAAAACAATCACCATACTTCCCAGTTGATGCCCTGATCCCAAGAAAATGATAATTTTCTTGTTAATAAAACAAATAATAAACTAAACCCTTTCCGTAGTTTCTCTTGATTAGTTATTATATCTAAACAAGAGACTTCACTTTCCTGGTCTCTAATTATTTTCAAAACTCCCCACTTCTAAATGGATGGTTTCTTAAAGGACAAATCATGCGTATAGAGCTTCCCTAATAGGAGATTGAGTGCATGAGTAGCCTTACACTTATGTTTGGGAAGTGAGAGAAGCATTACCGTTTGGGAGTTGCTCAATGATTAAAACAATCAGATGGATTTGTTACTCCCTGTAAGCACAAAAGCTATTTCTAGTGACTTAGAACCCAGTCAGCCATCACAAAGAAGCAGCCTTACAATGGTGCCCAAGGCTTGCCCCCTTATCCAAATTTTGGCAATAAAAAGCCATAAAATACTACACTGTATCAAATGATAAAATATCATCAAAGGCCAACAACTATACTTGGCATGCAGATGCAAGAACAGGACATGACTTCCTATTGGTAATTCCTGACAACATTGGTTCTTTCACCCCTTCTATATAATACTTCCATTCCTGACAACATTGGTTCTTTCACTCCTTCTATACAATACTTCCATTCCTACTGAGGATAGGAGTTGGGACTTGGTACTTTTGTCCAAAATGATGGTTTAGATTTTCAAGAGCATAATTTAGCTTAGTTGCTAGTAGAATAAAGCAATACACAGCAAACAATTGTAAACAAAGCAAAACAAAGAAGTCATGAGAAAACATAGTGAACGATCACTCATCTCAACCTCATTAAATAAGAACTATAGCTGATGACCCATGTAAATAGAGTGACGAATTGCAGGTATGCTTATGTCCATTGTGATAATGTTTCAAATTCTCAATTATATAGTTTGTGTGAAAGCATAAGAGAAAAAAAAAATTGTTCCAGGATCTATCTACCAGTAACCAATGCTCATACATTTCTTCGTAATATGATGCCCAGAGAGAAAACATGTGCGCTGATGAATTGAATATTAGAGTCCCAGAAACCACAATCAAGCACCTCACATGGTATGATTAAAGCATAGACAATTACCACTCAGTTTTATTGTTGTAGCAGATGCATTTCAACAATCAAGGACCTTGTAATCAAAGCAATATAGCTTGGTTGCTGATAAATTAACATCAAGAAGCTCCAAAGCAGGTGAAGAATGCACTTCTATCAACTAATCCAAATCCTCCTGTTCAAGGCCATGACCAAGTTATGTCTTCTGAGAAATTATCACATTTCTAACAAAAACTACCTCCAATCAACCAATCCAAATCTCTGAGACCTAATCTTGCACATGCCATTTTGACAAAAAAAGTTAACATTGAGGTGGTTAAAATAAAATCATAACTATGAATGGATTCGCCTACGAACTCACTGATCCCCACTGTTATCAAACCTAATCTGGAAGAATTAAACTAAGTGATGCAATTAGATTAGATTCTTAATATACTGAATTTCCCAAACTCGCAAAGACTATTTGTGTCCCAAGCCAACTTAAAAATTCATCAAAATTTCAGATAAAAACAACAAAGTCGGATTCTGATCCAAGAGTAAGCGAGAGGAAACGGGTAAGAAAGTTGGCCAGGGGTACACGGTACCCTGCGGCATTTGCAGCCAACCATGGAATCAACTGGAGATTTCCAGAAGAAAGGAGATGAAAGAAGGATCAAGGATCCAAGACGAGCTTAGATAGGTCGATTTTGTTCCAAGCTCTTCCACTTCAAAAAAACCTATTAAAGGAACCAAAAAATCATCAAAGCTTCAGATAGAAACAACAAAATTGAATCTCAGCATTTGCAGACAACTATGGAATGAACTGGCGATCTTAGAAAAGACCTGGGCGGGGATTAGGGTAAGGATCAAAGACGAACTTGGATAGACTAATTTAGTTCCAAGCTCTTCCACTTCAAAAAACCTCTTAAATCAACTTTAAAATTCATCAAAATTTCATACAAAAGAATACAATCGGACATCGATACATGAGTAAGCGAAAGGAAACGGGTAAGGGAGCGGGAGGGGGAACCTTGCGGCATACGCAGACAACCATGGGATCAACTTGAGATCTCCGGAACAAAGGGGGGCGAGGATTCGGGTAAAGGAACGAAGACGAGCTTGGATGGATTCCACGAACCAAAAGCGAAGAATCGAGCAAAGATGAGATTAGGGGACCATTGTGAGAGCTCGGGGAGGCTCCGATCAAAGTTCGATTTTAATCATAAAAGCCTGATAATAAACAAGAAATGGTATTTTAGGCACCTGACACTCCCACGACACCAACCATGGAATGCATGCTTGCCATTGGTTCAATTTGGGAGTCCCCACGAGGGATTAGTGCGACAAAGCGATTCGAACCATTGGCTGGTGTCCTTTCCTGGACGGTGCGTCGACCGATATTAGAGAAGCCATTTCCCGAGGCAAATTGGCGCGACCTAAGAAGCGATTGCACCCGCCAATTTCTACCTGTTCAAATTCGATTCGAATAATTAGTCATCCTTAGCATGACTTAAAAATATGCAAAAATAACGTAAGCGGGTCGAATATGCGTGTATGCAAAACCGGATCAAGTGATTCCAACAGATGAACAACTGGAAAAGGAAAGCTATAGAAGGACCTAAATCCATATTTAAATCCGATTCAGATTTCTATTTTTCTTTCGAATTTATCATAAATTAAACTATATAATACTCATATAAAACCGATCGGATACATTAGAGTTTTATTAAAAATTATATTATTGTGTCTGACAATGAAGATATATCTTGATCGAGATCATGTGATTTATCCCTGATTGTGATTCCGAAATTATCGATTTTGATTCTTGAACTACATGTTCTGTCTAGAACCGGAATTGGAACTAATGGTTCGGTTCAGGTTCAAACGGTTCTGATTTGAGTCATTAATTTGTTATTATACTTTTGATTTAAAAAATTAAAAATAATAAATATTTTTTTCTAAAATTTAAACAATATATGTATAACAATAATGAGTGTAATGATGTTAGAAAAGATAAAAATTAAAATTTTTTAATCAAACTAATTGGCTCTATTAAAATAAAATTATGAATTTAACCACTATACTATAAACTTTATATGTGATTTATTTTTATTTTTATTTTTATTTTTATTATATGATCGATTTCGGTTTGAATCATCAGGCCTAAATGATCCATTCTAAAGAATTATATTTTGATTATACGGATCATACATACTACTTGTTAGTGCACCTTTATGTCGTGGCTGAGGAGTCAGCACAACTCAGTTCGATCTCGGATGTCCAAGGGTGCTTCATGCGAGAACTTAGGTAGCCGAAGGGGACATCGGGTTGGGTTGGACTACGAATATCGTCGCCAGCCCCTGCACTCAAGTCGATGTCGGGAGGGGGATCTTCCAACTCGACCCCTCAGAAGCTTGAGTTAGCTTTTGGTGGAATGAGATAGAGTTCAGTGTTTTTTCCCTCCCCCTTTTTGGTAAGATGGTTGGCTTTTTATACCTGCGCTAGGGCGATCAGTTGTACGCAGTCCTTTAATGATCGTCGACTCCTTGAGAGGATGACTCATACCCTGCAACCGAACATCACCTAACCTGTACAGATCGGCATCACGCAATGTCGTCCCGAGTTTTACGGAATAGCCTCGGGATGTCTGAGGTCGTGCGGGTCGACGTTGTCTCATATTTCATGGAGTGGCTTTGGGATGTTCAGCACCGACCTATATGATGCTGAACGATGTCAAGGTCTCTTGGACGCCTTGTTTGGGTCTGAGGTGTCACTTTTTGTCAACTCGAAAGTCATTTGTTTACTGCTACGTGGATGGTGTCAAAATGTGTCATATCATTCTCCCCCCTCCCCCCCAGAAAGAGGCATACGTCGGGTTACTTTCTGAGGGGCTCGGTGCATGGCGTGGTGTGTCTTGTAAGTTGGGTCGATGTGCTAGTCATAGGTGACTTGTAAGCCAATCACGTAAGTGATGGCACGTGTGACTTGACACACAGTATTTTTGCTTATTATTAGTATCTGGCATTTTATCATTTTATATTGTTTGTTGTTTAAATATATTGTAATGTCCATGAATCTATGCAATGAGAATCAGATCGTGATAAAATCACGATAACAAGACCAATTCACCTTTAAACACAGATCATAAATTATCTCGGTCATAGGTTACTCGAGAGGGATATCGAGATAACTGGATAGACTGGTGTGTTGTATACATGTCCATATGATGGATGCAGCTGGTCTCATAATTGCTCGTGTGGAGACTCTAGGGATGCAGTATAGGTACTCATTGGGGAATGAGTTTACTGATTGATTCACTTACGGAATGTTGGATGGTTGATGATGCCTTAT